CCATAGTTTGTTTATCCATTCATCTGTTGATGGGCATCTAGGTTGTTCCCATCGTTCTGCTATTGTGAACGATGCTGCCATGAACATAGGTGTGCATATGTCTATTCGAGTGACGACTCTTATTTCTCTAGGATATATATTCCTAGGAGTGGGATTGCTGGATCAAATGGTATTTCTATTTCTAGCTTTTTAAGGAAAGGCCATATTGTTTTCCAAAATGATTTTACCATGTTTCATTTTTTTAATGAACAATTTATAGAACTGTTTCCTGGTCTAATTCTATTGTAGACAACTATGAATATCTCCAAAATGCACCTCCTGGATTTTTCCCAAGACTTGGTGTTATTGGTTTTGCTGGCCTTGTTGGACTCCTTTTTGCTAGAGGTAGGTACAATTTTGCATTTTTAGTTTTTAATGGTTAAGTTTATTTAGGTATAATTTACATTAAATAACATTCATATAGTCATGTAATGATCACCACACTCAAGATACAGAACTATTCCATCACCCCAAAAAGTTCCATTGTGCCTCTTTTAGTTAGTCCCCTTGTCCCACCCCTCGCTCCTGCAAACCATTAATCTATTTTCTCTCCCTATAGGTTTGCCTTTTCTAGGTTGTGATATAAACGGAATCATAAAGTACGTAGTGTTTTATGTCTGGCCTCTTTTCATTCAGTGTAATGGTTTTTGTGGTTCATCCATGTTGTAGCATGTATCACTATTTCATTCAGACATTACAAAAATTCCTAATATAAAAAGTCTATGAACCCTATAATCAGCCCCCCATAAAAGATAAACAGAGAATAGTTTGGTAGCCATTCCTTCCATTTAAAAAATCTTTTGTATACATGCATTAACTATTATTTCAGAATCTGGAAAAGTGCAGCTGGTGCCACTCCCCAAATCTGTGGAATGAGCTCATGTAATAGTTTCTGTGCCCTCCTCCCATCTTGTGCAGAATATGTAAAAATTAGAGTTCCTTTTTAGTAATCAGCTTGAAACATAGCTGAACTTTTTTTCCCCAGAGTTTTCCCTCTTTTCTGCAAAGTTGTTCAAAAAAGTATTCCTGTCTTATTTAGATAGTGTTTGGAATTTCCGAAGATCCCAAGGCCAGGGCGTTGGAATTTTGGCTGTTAGGGAGACAGGAATGTGGAAAAGAACAAATAGAAATGAGCTTCCCCCTCCCCTCTCCACAGCTAGAGCAGGTGGGGGTGTCTTGCAGGCCCAAGGAAAGCTCCCCGTGGCTTGTGTACATTTCTGTACTGTCGAGAGTTTGTCCTCTGCACGTCCACTAGTGTGACCAGCTTGAGAAGGAATGGGGACTGTGCTCTCCTGGGCAGATCAGCAGCATGAAGATACCCACTACTGTGGGTCCTATTCCTTTGTGTTTGTTTGTTTGTTCCTCCTTTTTCTTTTTTCTGGGGAGGACATGGTAATATTAAAATAGTTTAAAACCTTAATTCTTTTTCAGAAACATAAAACACACACACACACACACAGACACTCACATTCACACACTCACACTCTCACACTCTCAACAACAGGGCTTATCCCCTGGGTGCTGGGTGTAAAAGGGCCTGAGATGAACAGTATCCTAAGGGTTCATTAAGCAAGTTGAGTGGAATGGTAGGTATATTTATGGGTGACCTGAGTGGTTTGAAGGTTCCTCCAGGTAAATGGTCCCCTATGGGACAACAGCTGTTGCCTTGGGTCTTGTCTTCTTCATGCTGTCGTGAGGATGAGCCCCTTCTCTGGGTTCCATGTTTTCTCCTTGGTTTACTCTGCTGTGTTGTTGAAGTATGGGCTTAAGTAACTTTCAAAAAAGGATATGTTGGAGGTAAACTTTTTAAGTCCTTGCATGTCTGGAAATTACTTTCTGCCCTCATACCAAGTGATAATTTATTTGGTTGGGTATAGAATTTGTTTTCCATCAAAACTTCAAAGGCCATGTCTTCTGGCATCTGGTGTTACAGATGTGAGAGTTGGTAGCCAGTCTGATGCTTATTCCTTTTTAAGTGATCCATTTTGCTTTCTTCTTGGAAATTTTGAGGATCTTCTCTGAATCTTTCGTGTTCTGAATTTCCATGGTGCTATGACTAGATCCAGATCTTTTCGTGCATTGATTGGGCATGGTAATGGCTTGCAGCCTTCAACTCTAGGAAGATATCTTGGATTTCTTTGAAAATTCACTCGCATTCTGTTTCCTTTCTGAACTCATATTAACTAGTGATTGGGCCGTCTAAATTGACTCTCTATTTGTCTCTTGTATTTTCTCGATTATCTTATTATATCACTTTTGAGTTTTTTTACTTTGATCATTTCCAAGAAGTCTTTGTTCTCTGAATGTTCCTTTTTCATAGAATTCTTTTTTTGTTAATGTAGTAGCTTCTTGAATTTATTTGATGATACTTAATAACAACTTTAGTTTTGTTTTTAAATTATATTTCCTGTGTTGTCATTGTTGTTGTTAGGTGCCATTGAGTCGGTTCTGACTCATAGCGACCCTATGTACCACAGAACAAAACACTGCCCGGTCCTGTGCCATGCTCACAATCGTTGTTGTGCTTGAGCCCATTGTTGCAACCACTGTGTCAGTCCATCTCATTGAGGATCTTCCTCTTTCTGGCTTTCTACTTTACCAAGCTTGATGTCCTTCTCCAGGGACTGATCCCTTCTGACAACACGTTCAAAGTATGTAAGACGTAGTCTCGCCGTCCTTGCTTCTAAGGAGCGTTCTGGTTGTACTTCTTCCAAGACAGATTTATTCATTGTTTTGGCAGTCCATGGTATATTCAATATTCTTTGCCAACACCACGATTCAAAGGCATCAATTCTTCTTCGGTCTTCTTTATTCATTGTCCAGCTTTCGCATGCATATGATGCAATTGAAAATACCATGGCTCGGGTTAGGCGCACCTTAGTCTTCAAGGTGTTATCTTTGCTTTTCAACACTTTAAAAGAGGTCTTTTGCAGCGGATTTGCCCAATGCAATGCGTCTTTTGATTTCTTGCCTGCTGCTTCCATGGGTGTTGATTGTGGATCCAAGTAAAATGAAATCCTTGACAACTTCAGTCTTTTCTCTGTTTATCATGATATTGCTTATTGGTCCACTTGCGAGGATTTTTGTTTTCTTTATGTTGAGGTGTAATCCATACTGGAGACTGTAGTCTTTGATTCATCAGGAAGTGCTTCAAGTCCTCTTCACTTTCAGCAAGCAAGGTTGTGTCATCTGCATATCACAGGTTGTTAATGAGTCTTCCTCCAATCCTGATGCCCCGTTCTTCTTCATATAGTCCAGCTTCTCGGATTATTTCCTCAGCATACAGATTGAATAGGTATGGTGAAAGAATGCAACCCTGACGCACACCTTTCCTGACTTTAAACCATGTAGTATCCCCTTGTTCTGTTTGAACAACTGCCTCTTGATCCCTGTACAGGTTCCACATGAGCACAATTAAGTGTTCTGGAATTCCCATTCTTTGCAGTGTTATCCATAATTTGTTATGTTCCACACAGTCGAATGCCTTTGCATAGTCAAGAAAACACAGGTAAATATCTTTCTGGTGTTCTATGCTTTCAGCCAGGATCCACCTGACATCAGCAATGTTATCCCTGGTTCCACATCCTCTTCTGAATCCGGCCTGAATTTCTGGCATTTCCCTGTCGACATACTACTGCAGCCGCTTTTGAATGATCTTCAGCAAAATTTTAGTTGCGTGTTATATTAATGATATTATTAGATAATTTCTGCATTCGGTTGGATCGTCTTTCTTGGGAATAGGCATAAATTTGGATCTCTTCCAGTTGGTTGGCCGGGTAGCTGTCTTCCAATTTCCTATAAGGTCATTTTTTTTCCTGCTTGCTTGTCTTGCTCTCTCTCTTTTATGTTTCCAATAACGGTTAAGAATGTGGCAGTTGAGTAAGAACTTCCTGTGCATGGTGGAGCTTGCTGACAGGCAGGCTCTGTCTCATGGTGAGCTGGACGGGAACTGACCTTATATGGGGGGTGCCCACACCCAGTGCCACGTGAGGAGGGCACTAATACACACACACACACACGCACACACACACACACGCGCACCCACGCGTGCACACACACACCCACCCCCAGCTCTCTTGGTTCCCAGCAGAAAATTCATGGCATTTCTTTGGAGATACCTCCTGTCACCCCCTTTCCCCCTTCCCCCCCCTGTTTTGTTTTGTTTTTTTTTGACTTGGGAGTAGCTGTCTGACCACGGGCAGTTTTGCACTGGAATGGGATGGGGGAGCTGGTTCATGTACAGAACTTAACATTTGTCCCCTTGTCTGGAGACTCCCTGAGGCTGCCTGGAGCAGATCTGCTCCCTCCTCAAGACTTCGAGGCTGCGTCTCCTCTTGTTTCCATCCACTTTCTGTTTTCTGAAAATTGATTGACACTTTATCTGCCAGTGGCCTCTCCACACGTTTTCTCTTCCTTGTGGATTGATTATCTATATTTTATTCTCTTACTGTTATTTTAATGGGGTCTCAGGGAGAGGAGAGAAACACTTGTGTTTAGTATTTAAATAGGAAGCCCTGAAAGAACATAAACCGTAGAAACGAAGATAATGTTTCTTTTTCAGAGCAGTGTGTTTTCTGCTCTCTTAGAAATGGTGGGTCTCTTGAAAACATTGTACTGAGTGAATGAAGCCAGTCACAAAGGACCACATATTGTATGATTCCATTTATATGAAATGTACAGAGTAGGCAGATCAATAGAGAAAAGTAGATTAATGGTTACCTAGGGCTGGGGGTAGGGTAGGGGATTGAAGGGTGATGGCTAAGGGGTAGGGGATTTCTTTTGGGGATGATACAGTATTCTAAAATTGCTTGTCATAATTGTTGCACAACTCTGTGAATATGCTAAAGCCATGGAATTGTAAATTTTAAATGGATAAATTATGTGGTGTGTGAATTATACCTCAGTAAAGCTGTTAAAGCATGGTGCTTATTTTTGTTAAGCATCATATTGTTAGTCGTGTTCTCTGTGAATTAGAACCAAAGAAGTCTTATTCAGTATTAAATGTACAGGGTGAATTGTGATGGTAAGGTTAATGAATCATCTGATTGTAACTGTGACCTTTTATTTAATAGGTTCAAAAATAAAGAAGTTGATATATCCACCTGGTTTCATGGGATTCGCTGCCTCTGTCTATTATCCACAACAAGCCATCAGCTTTGCCCAGGTAAGTTAGACCCAGTAAGCTAGGTTGACCCACATTCTTATTTGTGTATGTATGGATTTACTGCTTAATTTTCATTTTATTTTACAGTTTTTACGACACCAGACTAAAATTAATTTGCACATATAGGTGGACTACAGCGATTAAATCTGTTTTTCTCTGCTGTGTACCTTAGTTCCCACCCTCCTTCCAGTAATGTCAGTGTTCAGAGAATATATGCTAATTTGAATACTAATCAAGGAAAATTAAAATTAGTTTGCATATTTATATGGAAATATGGAGACTCAAATTTCAGAGCTGCTACTTTATGGTCATTCTCAGTTTGGGCACATCTGGTCACAACCTTCTCTTCCTGGAGTTGTGTGCACAGACTGGGCTCTGGCCTTCCGAGCCTTCTCTCTGGTCCTGGCACCAGCTTGTTTTTCCCTGCCAGGGACTCTGAGGCATGCAGGCTCCTCTGCTGGAAGCGCCCTTCTTAGGGCTCTCAGTTGGCTGCTCCTTTCTTTGTTTCTTTTATAATAATTTATTTGTTTTTGTTGTTCTTGTTAAGAATATACACAGCAAAACATACCACCAATTCAACAATTTCTACATGTACAATTCAGTGGCATTGATTACATTCTTTGAGTCGTGCGACCATTCTCACCCTCCTTTTCTGAGATGTTCCTCCCCCATTAACGTAAACTCAGTGCCCCCTAGGTTTCCTATCTGCTCTTTTGAGCTTCTCTTATTAGTTTGATCCCTTAGAGAGATTCTTAAAGGAGCATAATGGTCAAGGCAGACATTCTTTACTAGATAAGCTAAACTATTGTTTGGTTTTAAGAAGACTTTAAGGGAAGTGCTCATGATCATTAGTCATTAGAGAAATGCAAATCAAAACTACAATGAGATATCATCTCACCCCAGTAAGACTAGCATTAATCCAAAAAACACAAAATAATAAATGCTGGAGAGGTTGTGAAGAGACTGGAACACTTATACACTGTGGGTGGGAATATAAAATGGTACAACGACTTTGGAAATCGATTTGACGCTTCCTTAAAAAGCTAGAAATAGAAGTACCATATGATCCAGCTATCCCACTCCTTGGAATATATCCTAGAGAAATAAGAGCCGTCAAACGAATAGATATATGCACACCCGTGTTCATCGCAGCACTGTTCACAAGAGCAAAAAATGGAAACAACCTAGGTGCCCATCAACAGACAAATGGATAAACAAATTATGGTATATCCACACAGTGGAATACTATGCAACAATAAAGAACAACGATGAAGCCATGAAACATCTCATAACATGGAGGAAGCTGGAGGTCATTATGCTGAGTGAATTTAGTCAGTCACAGAAGGACAAATATGGTATAAGACCACTATTATAAGAACTCAAGAAGTGGTTTAAACACAGAAGAAAACATTCTTTGATGGTTATGAGGGTGGGGAGGGAGGGTGAGGGTTATTTGCTAACTAGATAGTAGATAAGAATTACCTTGGATGAAGGGAAGGACAGCACACACTACAGGGGAAGTCAGCACAACTAGAGTAAACCAAAGCTAAGAAGTTTCCTGAATACAGTCAAACACTTTGAGGGACAGAGTCGCAGGGGTGGGGTGTGGGGACCATGCTTTCAGGGGACATCTGGGTCAACTGGCATAACAAAGCTTATGAAGAAAATGTTCTGCATTCTACTTTGGTGAGTGGCATCTGGGGTCTTAAAAGCTTGCAAGCGGCCATCTCAGATGCATCAATTTGTCCCAACCACCTAGAGTAAAGGAGAATGAAGAACACCAAAGACATGAGGAAAGTATTAGCCCAAGAGACAGAAAGGGCCACATAAGCCAGAGACTTCATCAGCCTGAGACCAGAAGAACTAGATGGTGCCCAGCTACCACCAATGACCGCCCTGACAGGGAACACAGCAGAGTCCCAGATGGAGCAGGAGAAAGGTGGGGTGCAGAACTGAAATTCTAGTAAGAAGACCAGACTTAATGGTCTGACTGAGACTGAAGAAACCCCGGAAAGCATGGCCCCTGGATTCTCTATCAGCCCAGAACTAAAACAATTTTCAAGGCCAACTCTTCATACAGGGATTGGACTGGACTGTGGGATATAAAGTGATACTCATGAGGAGTGTGCCTCTTAGCTCAAGTAGATACAAGAGACTAAATGGGCAGCTTCGGTCCGGAGGTGAGATGGGAAGGCGGAGAGGGTTAGGAGCTGGTTGAATGGACATGGGGAATCAGGTGGAAAGGAGGAGTGTGCTGTCACAGTGTGAGGAGAGCAATTAGAGTCACATAACAATGTATGTATAAATTTTTTATGGGAAAAAAAGGGAAGACTTAATGGGATATTTTTTATTTAATATTTAAAGATTATCTCAGGGCAATAGTTTAAGGGTTTTATCCACCCTCCGTGGCTCCAGAAAGTCTAGAGTCCATGAGAATTTGAAATTCTGTTCTACGTTATCCCCCTTTTGATCAGGATTCTGCTATAAAATCTTTGATCAAAATGTTCATTAATGGTAGCCAGGCACCATCCAGTTCTTCTGGACTCATGGCTAAGGAGGCAGTTGTTCATGGAGGCAATTAGCCACACATCCCACATCCTCCTATTCCTGGCTTTTCCTTCTTCCTCTGTTTCTCCAGGTGAATAGAGACCAATTATTGTGCCCTGGATGGCTGCTTGCAAGTTCTTAAGACCCCAGGCACTACACAACGAACTGTGAGGTGGAACAGTAGCACTAAACACGTTATTAGGCCAGTTTCTGGGATGTCCCATGAAACCATGACCCTGAACCTCAAAACCAGGGAACCAAATCCCATGAGGTGTTTGGTTGTACATAAGCAACCTCAGCAGCTACTCTTTTGTTGTTGTTGTTGTAAATATATCTATCACACAACTTTTGCCAGTTCAGCATTTTTATAGGTATACAGCTTACAACAATTACATTAACTGGCTGTGCAACCCTACCCTTAATGCAGTTTTTCCATCACCATAAATCAAAACTCAGTGCTTCATAAGCAATAAGCCCTCTTACCTCCCTCCCTCCTGCTCCTGGTAACCACTAATAAACTGTGGTCTCTATACGTAGCTGCTCCTTTCTTAACTTCAGGCCTCAGCTTCGGTGACACCTCCCCGGAGAGGGCTTCCCGAACACCCTGTTATTTTCCATCTGGTCATCCCATTACCAGGTTGCAGTTATATACTTGTTACTTGATCACTGGCAGCCTCCTGCACTAGTGTGTGACCTCCATGAGGCCAAAGACTCTTGTCTTCTGCTTATTGGCGTGTGCCCAATACCAAGCACCATGCTGGGCCCATAACCAACGCGCAATAAAAATGGTTTGAATGAGTGACTGTCCCCTTGTACTAATCCTATGGATATTTTTCGTGGCTTGACTCTCATGACAGTTTTTAGTTTAACTTTCACAGTTTCTTTTTTGTATTCTCCGTTTGACTTGTTAATCTTCTTTTGGAATAATTTTTGACATGTAATTCTTTTGTTTTCTCTGATTTTTCATTCCAAAAGGCAGAGTTGTGTTTTTATTCATCTCTGGTCTAGAGGATGTTACAAGGTCGGTAGGTCTGCTGGCTCTAGTCATGTCGTAAATTGAAATTGCACAGGTTTCCTGAAATATTTTTAGTCTGAGTAGAGTATTTCTTTTAAGGAACAAAATAAAAACTTTGAGGTGATTTACTGCCTCTTAAAAACTTGGTTATTTACATTTATATAATTTACTGATTCTTATGGCAGAAAGATTTTCCTTAGTCTTTTTAAGCGTGTGATTTTTTTTCAGTAAAACTGGAGTACAAGAATGACAGTAGAAAAGTGCAGTATTTCTCACATATTTATATAACTCTTCAAACTGAGCTTTGCCAATTTTGGAAATTAATACTAAGCGTTCTTGGGCACAGAAAATGAAAATAAATTTTTTTTAGAAATGTTTTCATACTTCCCTGCTATTTCTGTCCTTTGTTCTTAACATCCACCATCATCTTTGCCTTGGTATATTCTGCTTCCAAACAATGTAATCTCCCCATTCAAGAAGACACTTCAATGACTTGTGTTTAACAATATATGTTAGTTAATTTCACTAAGGACATGTTCAGTTATAATGAATGAATTAGACTCAGATTTTTTTTTCCACCTTGAGAAGAAGTAGGTTGGACTTCAATCTCAGTTCTCAATATATAGTGTTAAGTTCTTAAATAAGTTACTAGAGAAAACTAGATATAATAAAGGCAGTGACTTAGATGGAGTTTGTTAATTTGCAGCAAGTAATCCATTGAGGAGATGAGATTATATTCTAACCATGGAGGTACTGTTAACATTTGGCAAATAGTTACAGATAATATCAAAGGAAAGTGATATTACTATCCTCTAGGGTGTTCTAGGAGCCCTGGTGGCACAGTGGTTAAGCGCTGCGGTGAGCTATGGCTACTAACCAAAAGGTCGGCAGTTCAAATCCACCAGCTGCTTCTTGAAAACCCTGTGGAATAGTTCTACTCTGTCCTATAGGGTCGCTATGAGTCGGAATCGACTTGATGGCAATGGGTTTTTGGAGGATATTCTAGGAATTCTAAACTCTTTAACTTGTTTAAAGAAAAATCATTGTATTGTTGAAGTTGTTTTTGTAATGTACTGTCCTTCTTTCCCTCTATCTCCATGGAGTAGCTTTCCTAAGGTCATCCTTTCCATCTGTGATGATCATTCTGTTCCTTCTACCTACCTCTTACAGAGTTTTGCTTCATCAAGTACCATCACTCTTTTGCATCTTTAATCTCTTACGTTGCATCATCTCTTCCCTCTTAACCTACAAACATACTCAAGCCTCCGTATTCCAGAAAGTCCTTCTCTTGATCCTGGCTCCCCTTAAGCTTTCAGCTCTTTTACCTTCCTTTTGGGAGCATACTTCTATTCAGCATCTTTACTTCCTCACCTCCCATTCTCTCCAGCTAGATACAGTCTATAATGTCCACTACTCTACTGAAAGTGTTGTTGCTGTGGTCACCTTGGCTGATTCCAGGTGTGACAGCCCTTCATCCTCGTAGCCTTCATTTTGTCTGCAGCCCTTGGCACAGTTAATTATTTATCTCCTCCCTTGGTGGTCTCAGTGCTGCTTTTCATCTTACCTCTGGCTGATTCTTCCCCAGCACAGTGAGGGAGGGTCCCACAGGAGGTTACTGGTGGTATTTTGGCAAGTAGGTAGAACACTGTAAAGCTAGACCAGTAGTTCTCAAAGTGAAAACAGGGAACATATTCATTGGATTCACCTGTTTTTTATTTAAGCCCCTAAAATGAATGATTGATTTTCACCTTAGCAAATGTGAATTGATTTGACTGTTGTGTGCAAGACAGGATACTAGATGTGACAGGTAGAAGTCTTATGTGTCTGATTTTCTTCCATTAGCAATGATCACCTACATTTTTTTTAATTGAAATTTTGAAAGTTTGGGATATATACCTGCAATTTATAGCAAATTATTTTAAAATATAACTATAAACAATCAGACTTATTATTTTTTATTTGCTTATGTTGCACAGTTTTAATGCGTATGTCCCAAGACTTACTGCATTAGTTATCTAGTTAAATACAGAATTTTTGGAAACAGGAAAAAAGAAAACAAAATTCTTTTCCTTGCCATTCGTATATGGAATAGCAATTGATCTTTTATATTTTGTTTCAAGGCCAGCGGGGAAATACTATATGACTGGGGTTTGCGAGGATACATAGTCGTAGAAGATCTGTGGAGAAACTTTCAAAAGGTGAGAAGCATCTTTTTTATCATCTTCCTTTTGATTTAAATGTGTGGTTTCCCTAGGGTTTTGTAAAGTACTTGCTGTTGTTTATTTTGTCTTGCTTTTTGTTTGTTTTTAATTACGCCTTTAGTTCACATTTTCTGGTGACCTTTACTGGACAAGTGGTAGAACTTCTGAGCATTTGATTATCAGCAGGATTAAATAAGTGATCACAAAATGCATTCCACCACAGCCTTAGACCATAATTTCCTCTCTATTGTATTTATAATCTGTTCAAAGTATAGTTTTATAAAAACTGAATTCAAAGGCAAAAAAGTATGCTTCCAGGTAAAAGACAAATAATTGAGACCCCTTCCATTTGTCATAAGCTCAGTTCTTTTCTTTAGCAGTGCTGTATCTATGCATTCCCTAGCCTTCTCAGCCCAGCTATGGGCATGAGTCTTGGTGTGTTGGGGACCAGCCACCAGCCACAGGCCACCTTCCTGTGTTGTCTGGTGGATGAGCAGCAGAGAGGAGGTTGTGTAATTGTAAGGGAATGTCATCTTTCATCTCTTCTAGCAGCCACATAGCTGATTAAAATGTTGCTCATTTTCTGGAACATTCTTTCCTTCTTTAATAAGGAAGAATGGGTGTAGAACAAGGCGTCACATCTCCTCTAAGCACTCAGTGGGTATACACCCAGCTAAGGAAGAATTTGGTTTATATTAACAGATACCTTTTACATTATAGATTAAAGGAAGTTCATTTTAACTTTAAATTATTTCAGATGAAAATACTCTTTTAAAAAAATATAACTGTCTCAAAATTAAAATCCAGAATTTTGAAATGGAATTTGGAAGTACCATTATCAAATAAATCATAGGCCCTCCTCATTGTTTACATAAATAATCTTCCATGAAGATCTTAAGACTAATTTTTATATGGGTGATTTCTAAAGGAATTAGTCTGTTGAGGCTGTTTAAACTAGTTTTTGAGTAGGAAGTTCTATATCAATATCAAGTGTCCTTTGGCAATCCCTTTTATAGAATAAACACTCATAGATTTTTTTTTTTATATATTTCACTGACATTTTCTTTGGAAGCTTTCTTTCCTGTTTAAAAAATTCCTTAACAAGTCCACACTGAATTTTATGTGGGAAAGGAAATAAATGTCAGGAAAACTATACACTGCCCTAGAAAGAAACGTGGAAAGTGAGACTAGGTCGGCGGCCTCCACTCTGAGTGCTCAGCGTGTTGTGACAGATGCACGCCAAAGCCAAAGAAACCTCTCTCTTGAAAACAGCTTTCTGTAACTGCTCTGAGAATTGAGTCCAGTGCAGAAGCAACTGGACTGTGATAGGAATGCAAATTAAACAGGCCAACGTTTTGTGGTAATTTGAAAACACTAGATATTAAAACTACTCAAATTTATATATGAGACTTCAGGGAGTAGGGTGGTGAAGATTTCTAATTAGCTTGTAGTTGGTTGGCATTTCTTTGTCCAGAAATACTTCTATGCCCTTGCCCTCTTAAGAGTTATTGAGAATTTGAAGTGTTCTGTTTGTTTACTCTCAGGACGTAGTTTTCCTGTCAGCTTTCTTTTCTCAATAGATGGTAATAGATGTTAACTACTTAAACATTTAGCATCGGTTTTAAATACAAAATATCAGAAGGCCTTATTAATTCAAGATTAGATATACTTCGATTTCAGGAATTGTTTGATAGTAAGGTGCCATTGGTTTTTATTGTTTTTTTTTTTCCTCCCTTGTTGGATTTTGTGGGCTTCAGGTTTTGTTTTTTGTTTGTTTTTTAATGAGAGCAAAGATTTAAGCTACCCTGTATCAGTAACCTTTTGGGGCCCTGGAGCTGAGTATATTTTATTTATGGTATATCAAATAATTCATAATCTAGTAAGGGAGATGACGAAAGTGCACAACCAAAATACAAAACAAAACATGGTAAGTGCTATCAGAAAGACACAGAAAAATTAAGATTTTTTTAGATAAAGAAGAGAGCCTGTTTCTTTAAAGGGAATTGGCAGGCACTTCACGAAGATTTTTTGTTTGCTAGCTTGTTTAGAAATTGATTTTCAAGTCAAGCTTTAGTTACCAGTCTCAGTTACGTACAGTCTAATTCAGAGTTGTTTGTACCATAATGATGTAACAGGAATAGTCATGCCTTTGGTTGTAAATAGTTAAAGAGGTTTGTGGAAGTTGTGTTTACAGTAAGAGCTGAAAATTTAAATGGTATGAATAATGGCTCAGTTCTCAATTACATTCTTTCCCCTGAGGCTCTAAACAACCTCTGGCATTTTGCTGCTCTGCCACCTTCCTTCTCCCTTTTAGGAATTAATTCTAAATATTTGCACTGAGTCTTCTACCAATAATGTTTGGCTGAGGTGTTCGTTCAGTTCTGTCATCGTTGGTTACTTAAGAGCAATTTATCTGCTTCAGCCAAAATGAACTCTTTGCTCAAATAGTGAAGAGAAGAGACGTGTGTGGAAATATTGTCATCAGAGTGTGCTCTAAGGTTTGTTTTTTTTTTTTTTAAAAAAAGAATATACATGTATGCATTTTTTAAATCCAACACTATAATGACCATACGTTTATCAGCCATCCACCTTTAAAAACTGGAGATTACCAGTGCCTTCAGAGTTCTCCATGTGATCCTTCATGCCCTCAGAGGGAACTACTCTCTGGAATTTTGTGGTTTTCATTCCCTTGCTTTTCTTTAAACTTTTCTTTTTAGTTTAACTGTAATTGAGCTTGCCTGTTTTTTGCCTTTATAATATAAATAAATATACAAAGTTTACATAAATGGAGTCTTATTATATTATGTGTATTATTTTGCAACTTGTTTCCTTAGCATTATATTTATGGCCTATATATGCCTGTAGTTTGCTCGTTTTCATTGGTGTAGAATATTTCTTTCTGGGAAAATACCCATGTTGATGGATAATTGGGTGGTTTTCAGTATATTGCTGTTAACACACAGCTGTGAACATTTTTGTACATGCGTCATGGTTTGTGAGGAGTTTCTGAAGGCTGGGATTCCTGGTTCATAGGGTCTGTATATCATTAGTTTTACTAGATGATGCCAAATAATTTTCCAAAGTGGTTGTTCCAATTTATTCTCTCAGGGAAAAACTTGGTATTATTAGACTTTTCCATTTTTGCCAGTCTGGTGGCTTTAAAATAGTTTTTCATTGTGGGGGTTGTGTGTATGGGGAGTTGATTTTTCTCCTAATTTTTATTTAGAAAAAATTTCAAACTTGCAGGAATGAAACAATGAGTATACCCTTCACTGGATTCACTAACATTTTGCTACATTTGCTTTATTTCTCTCTTTACTTATCTGTGCTCACACACGTATTTTTTTTTCTGAACCATCTGAGAACTAGTTGCAAATATTGCACTTTCCACCCATATCTAATTCAGTTTCTATTTCCTAAGAACAAAGTCATTCTTTTATGTAATCACAATAAAATTATCATACTCAGGAAAGTTAACATTTCATTTTTTACATAAATATTATGTAATACATGTTCCGTATTCAAATTTTCCAGTTGCAACAGGACAGCTGGTAATGAGGAACCCAAGGTTGAGCAGGGGATAGTGTTGACATGTTGTGGGGTTAGCAACCAATGTCACAAAACAATATGTATATTAAGTGTTTAATAAGAAACTAGTTTGCTCTGTAGACCTTCATCTAAAGTACAATTAAAAACAAAGAACGAGAGCCAAGAGCACACCACTCTAACAGCCCCATGAAAATGCCGACACAACCACCATGAATACTAATTACCGCCTGCTACTGTGGACAGTCAGTGCTGCGGCTACCCCTAAGATGACTTCTCCCTGGCCCTGTTTCTCGGAGTCTCTATCTGGGGGCATCCAGTTAGCCAAGCCTAAGTCATGGGCTCCTGGCCTAGCTGCAAGGGAGGCTGGGAAATAAGTCTGGCCTTTTTGGCTTCTGTGGTGAGGGCTAGGCTGTGCATCCCACCAAGCCTCAACTGAGGGGATTCAGAAACTTCATAGGAAGACAGCTCGGATGCTGGGCCTCTAAAAATGGGGAAACATCCATTTCTCTCATGGAATGCCTAAGGAGAACAGTGGGAGTGCAGATGTGTTTTACTCAAGTGATATTTCACTGTTTAAATCTGCATCCCCTCTTTTCTAAAAAAATGGAAAAAAATGCAAGTATTTTTGCTGTTTCCCTATGGGCTTATGTTTGCAAATAAATGCCTTATTTCCTTAGTTATGAAGCCAAGACAGAGAATGTGAGGCACAAGATTTGTTGTTGGCATCCTATATCTTTCATCATTTTATTCCTCTGACAAAGAACTTAAAGTGACTCCTATTTCCCATTAACAGGAAGCCCCAGCCACTCCTATCTCTGCAGCGAGCACCCAGTCTCAACAGGCTACCGTGCCCCAAATTAATGGAACCTCATCGAACAGTCTGTCAGTGACTCTTACCCAACTAAGCTAATCTTCAGACACCAAAAAGCTGACTCCTCCTGTGGAACTCTCCAGCAGCTTTCCCCTGCATATCCCCAAGGGAAGGCCAACCACAGTAGTGACCCCAAGCTAGTGTGGCCAGAGTGTGGGCTCCAGGCTATGTGCCCAGGAAAGTCTATGTGATCTGAATATTTCAATTGTATTAATCATGTACTCTTAAATGAGTATAGTATTAAATAGATTAGTCCTGAAATAAAACTGTACTTGAATAGACACCAAAAAATATTTTTTTCCAGTTGCTCCAATAATGTGCTTTCCTTAAATAATTAAAAAAAATTTTTATAGCTAAGTGAATTATTATAAGGCAAACATTCTTGTAATCATCATCCAGGACAAAAAATAGAACTTTGCCAGCCACCCAGAGGCCTCTCCTTCTAGACTATCCCTATCACAGTCCTCTCCCTTTCTTCAAAATAATTACTATCCTGAATTTCATAGCAATCACTTCCTTGTCTTTCTTTATGGTTTTATCATCCCAGTACTTATCCCTGTCACTTTAGTTTAGTCTT